AGGTTGATCCCTTGAGAGAAACTGGAGGGAGAACAGCAAGTGGGACAAAGCCGACGAGGCAACTGCCCGCAAATCGTCAGGCTACCGAAAACTGCGGCTTATCACCCCCCATCCGTATCCTTACCCGAGTTTGGTCACTTTCGTGGTGATTCTGGTAATTACAGGCAGCCATAGCCGCCAAGTCATCCTTACCCCAATACCGGAAAATTACCGCGGTGAAACCGTTTTATGGTGATTATGAAAGGGCCAGTCAAGCCAGTTCCAGCCAGCCAAAGACCAGCCAGCCCCTCTCTTCCTGGTATCAATACCATCCATCGAGGTATCACCGGTAAGAGTCAAAAAAGTTAAGTCAGTCGTACAGTAGTAATAAATAAGTAAGTAAGTAAGTAAGTAATGGAAGTGAAAATTTGTTTTCATTAGTAGAACAACCAGAAAGGAATTGAAAAATCAAGAGAAGAAAAAAAAAATAAAAACACAGAAAGGTAGAAAGAAAAGAAAGGAAGAGAAGAGGATGAAGAAGACTAACCTACTACTTTTCCTTTCCTTTTCCCTTTTTCCCCCTACGGTAAGTAACTAATGTACTGCTACCGCTGTTGCTGCTGCTCCTGCTGCCGCCGCCGCTTGCTGGAAACTGGCTGGCTGCGTTGGTTGCTGCTGTTCGCTCTTCTTCTTCTCCGCCTTCTTCTTAGTCGCTTTTTGTCTCCGCGATTTGACCTTCTCGATCTATCCATTCTTCAAGGGAAAATTAGCCTTCCTACTATCACGCCGAGGTGGGTTGGACTATCAATCGTTGCTTTCGGTGTTCGTGCGCAATTTTCCTAACCGGTTTGCTCACTCTGATTCCTAGGCAGAGATGACTTTAGTTGCCTAAAGAACCTAAATGTCATCTGCCTCTTAAATAATCCCGCCGTGTCCCTCCAACGTGTCCAGGTCAGTATTACCATTATTATTTGATTATTATCGTCAGTTCCCTATATTATTATGACTGTCGTTTATTTACCTCCTTCTCCTGCCCATGTCTACTATTCTTCTACTTAAAAGTCCTCTGCTACTGCTACTACTACCACTACCACCATCACTACCACTGCTACTACTACTACTACTATTCCTCCTCCTTCTCTTCTTCCCTTGCTCTCTCGAACTACTATCTCCCTGTGATTCGCTGTGCTGTTCAAGGTTTCCCAATCTTGCTTGTCACATAGGCCTTGATGTCATTGTAGATCTGATCTGATCTATTACTCTCAAACCACTGCCCCGTCTCTCGTTCTGTTTTCCTTTCGGCTTCCTCCGTCATCGCCAACATCACTTCACTTGCGCCGCGATTACTATATATTAGTCTTTTTCCCTACTTGCGCACATTCACCCGCTCCTCTTTTGTTCAATCTTCCTCTTTCCTTCTCGTCTCTGCAGCCCTTCTTCCCCAGGACCACTACTGTTCTATTATCACCGCCACTACCACCGCCACCACACCATCCTTCACCTGTCGCATTAGCTCCACCATCATCGGACTGATCGTCTTATCAATACTTGGTGTTGGACGGCTCGCTGATACGGATCAGATGACGTGTTACATAACCCTACGGTAGCCAATACGATGAGTGACGGAAATGCTGGCCAGGACTCCCTACTGGTTTCATATCATGATCGAGCTTCTTCTGCAACAGCCCTACTAGAGCCCGTCAACCCGGACACCCATCCGAATTCTTCCTCCCACCCCAAGTGAGTAGTATTTCCCCCACACACCGGGCTATTGAACCAATTCCAGAATGCTTGTCCATGTATCGCGCTATGATATTGTATCTCCTGCTTTTATGGTCTATCGAATTATCGTCGGGTAACTACCATCTGCGGTGTTTTTAACAGTCCATATAGGAAGCCACTACCACCGTTGGTGTCGGATGCTGGCTCCCCTGCCGGATCCTCTACTACCAATCGAGCGTTTCACTCTGCCAGTGCCTCATTTTCGCACAAGAGAGGCGACTCAGGGGGCGCCATCCCGGATGATTTTGCCTCGGATGGCGTGAGTGAGCAAGCGGCCAACCTTGCTTCCTCCAACGTGCCGAACGGGTGTCGTCAAGCATGGCAGGAGCAATGGAGGCGGTCTGACACCGAGTTAGTCCGCCCATCAAGCCGCGCAGTAGCTGAAAGTCGAATGGGGCAGGCTAGTCCGGCTGACAGCAATTCCCGCCTTCCTAGAGATGCCGCCCCCACGGTGGACGACATAGGCGAAAGTAATGGCGGCTCATCCCCGCTTCATTCGCAAGCATTTCGCTCCAGTCCCATCATGAATGCCGGCCGTCCGCCAATGAACCCAAGCGCCAATCCAGACGAGATGGCCTCCCTCTCCGAAGTGTCACGGGAGTCTGCGGAGGGTCTGAGCTATGGCCAAGAGTCCGCGAGACAATTGAGCAATGCTCATAGTCCCGCCGGCGCGGTCACTGGGACATCCGGAGGTACATCAGCATCAAATGGGCTTATACTTCAGCTAGTAGAAACTGATTATTGCACAGAAGAAAAACTGATTCAGGATGTTCGAGGAATCTATGCCGGGTTGGTGATGGCGGAAAATAGATGCGAGGTGTGGCACAAGCGGGTCCAAGAATGGCCCACGATGACGCAGGTTCAATATCAAAGCTTGGTTGGAATCCACGGAACTATGCTGCAAGAGTATCACGATTTCTTCCTTTGCTCCCAACATCCTGTCGCGAGCCCTGCGCTCAAACGCCTAGCGGAGAAATATGCCATGCCCGCACGACTATGGCGCCACGGAATCCATTCGTTGCTGGAACTGCTGCGCCATCGGCTTCCTGAATCCTTGGAGCACATGCTAGCCTTCATCTACTACGCCTATTCCATGATCACACTGATGCTCGAATCGGTGCCCGCCTTTCAAGATACCTGGATCGAGTGTCTGGGAGATCTCTCGCGCTACCGGATGGCCGTGGAGGAATCCGACCTTCGCGAACGTGAAGCCTGGGCGGGCGTGGCACGATACTGGTACAACCAGGCTGCAGACCGGAACCCGAGTGTGGGCAGAATCCAGCATCATCTGGCGGTTTTGGCCCGACCGGATATCATCCAGCAATTGTTTTACTATACGAGATCTCTGGTCAGTGTTCAGCCGTTCGCGGGCACACGGGAGAGTATTTTTCTCCTATTCAATCCTTTCCTGAGAGGGCCCCGAGCACTTGGTCGTCTGCCACTAGTAAGCGCTTTTGTGACCGCACATGGCCACTTGTACACTAGAGACGTCGGAGATCGCTTTATTAAGTCGATCGACACATTTGCATCGCTTCTGAACCAGACTATAAGCCAATTGGGGGCTGCATTCAGGCTACAAGGGTTCTTCATTTGCGCTTGTAATATATCCGCCATGCTAGAATATGGCAGCCCCGACGCTTACCTGGGCCTCGAGTTCCAGGAGGCGGAGCAGTCGCAAGTAGAGTCACTAGACGAGATCTACGACTCTGCTGCCAACGCCTGGATTCCTGTCAATGACCTCGAGGCCGTGCAAGCAGAGTTCTTAGCATCTCGGGACTCCCCAAATCCATCGCCTCTGCTCTTTTACGGGTCCTACCTCGCTTACCACACTTTGTCCGTGATGCTCGAACAAGTCAATCAAGTCCCTGACAGGAATATATACGCAGCATGCCATGTCTCTCTAGCATTCCTCTGGTGCTTGTCACTTACACCGCGAGGTATGAACCGCCTGGAAGTTGCAGTACCGTGGAGAAAACTTGTGTCTTTTCTCAATACTCTGTTTCGCAGCTACATCAGGCCCGAGATCGCCGAGAGGGAAGACTTTCCCGTCTCGGAAGAGACCACCTGGGTAGCGGAAGACTTCCTTATCCGTGGCCAGATCTGGAGCCAACGTCTCTATCCTGCATCTTTCTTCGACAACGCACCTACTGCCGGCGAGGGCAGGAACATTGAGCCACCGTCACGGGATATCACCAGGATGTACAGGTGCATATGGCTGGGAATCAGGCTTGCCAAGGTAAGCTTCCTGTGGATAGGAAGATACTATGATCGCGTTAAAAGAGTCATGCTAATAGCGAGCAGTTTGGACGTTGGATCACATATGACCCCAACGAGCGGAAGTTCTCTGCTACCCCATTTGCCCTGAAGCTTGAGACTATTGCCGAAGAACACAACCCCTTTTCCACGCCGAGTGAGGCCAGTCAGGATAGTGCAGGCAACGACGCGCGCGAAACATGAGGACGGCCTGGCTGGCCCACTTGTGAGCCATGCAATTTGGACGTTTGTGAAGTATCGAATATTGCGAGAGACGCTATCTGGATGGCCCGATCTATTATAAGACCACCTAAAGTCCTCGCCGAAATAACATAAAGGCCCGGTATCTGGGCGCTCTAAAAAGGAGAGCCATATGATTGTGGTGAAATAAGTGTTGATGCGAGTCCCGTTAAGGCACAAGCCTGGCAGCTAGCTTTTGTCTGCATCCGCTCTGGAGGTCGATCACAGATGAGATTGCCATGCGACATGAAAAGGACTGTCGAGGAGGATAGTGTCAGCCTCCACCCGATCAAGGTTTCATCCAGCAGCTACTCACTCAAGCCTGTCTTGGGCCTCCGACAAAATCTATTAATAGTGTAAGATCATCCCTATTGGTATAGGGAGAGGAGAAGACGGGCGTGAGAGCATTTAGATATACTACTACTCCCATCATGGTGGGGGAGCATGAAATAGAAAACGAAGTCACTGGTATGTATGTAATTAACGAAGAAGCTATCAAGAGAACAAACAGAACAGATTATGGGAGAGATCTTCATATTGCGTAGACTAATCAGCATAATACATTACTTACGTAGAGAGCGGAGCGATGAACCGAGCCCGGAGTGGGGGAGCCGAAGCCGAGCGGAGCCTGCAGAACGAATGAAACCCACTGAAAGGACAAGTTGGCGTCTGCAACGCGTCTCATGCTTGGATGCTAAAGGCTAAAGCCCGCTTTACTAACCTATCTTTATCTCACCACGTTTCCCCTTCGGAGCTGCTCCTCCTCCGCCTTCTCCTCCTACTTTATTATTGCCTTGCAATCCTTCCCTCGGTCCCGGACGATGGCCATTGTTGTTCACCGTCATTCTGTTCCGGATCGCTGCTCTTTCTCTCCATGTTAGTGAGGTGATCAATCCTTACAAGACAGCTTCCGTGTCGCATGGCTGGCCAAGATCGGATCGTCTCTGTCCCGTTGAGCACTTGAAGCTCACTTCCCCTCTCCATCCGCTGCCTGTCCGCGATTATCTTCATCCGCTCGAGGCCATCTGTCCCTTCGTCCGACGTCTCTACCACCCCCTGCTCTTTCAAGACTCAACATCATGACTGAAGGTACCTTCCTCGGTACCTGCGGTCATTGCGCCGAGCTCCTGGCGAACGTTCCGCTCTCGGTCCTCCTCGTTACCCTGGTCGCAACTCTCGCTGGTCTGTCCGTCCTGGTATGTTTAGATTGCATTGATCCTCGGGTTTACCGTTGCGCCTATGGCTCCCCCGTAAACTGGGAATGCCCTTAGTTGGCGACGCGATTAGAACAGTTACGCTAACTAGCGGCCCTTATCCTGTCTAGTTCTACATCACTCTCTACACCGTCGCCCCGGTCCCGCGGAAGCCGTTCCCTGAAGAGAAGAAATATCGTACGCTCCTGAAGAATGGATCGATCACGGAGCCCCTCGATTTACCTTGCTGGCAAGATGCCCTAGACGCTCAAAAACGCCCCGGTCGGGTTCTCGACCACACCTCGATGGAGGAAGCCGATTTGTTCATGTCATTGGTAGTACCCGCATATAATGAGGAAGACCGCCTGGCAGGCATGCTGGAAGAGGCAGTGGATTACCTGGAAAAGGTCTATGGCACGGTAACAAACTCCGCCAATGGCGCTGAGACCGTTACGGCGGAAAATGCAGTGCGTCAACGGAAACAGGCCAATGGGCACACCAATGGCTCTGCGACTCATCGTCCGGTACATGACAACAAGGGGTGGGAAATCATTATTGTCTCTGATGGCTCCAAGGACAAAACAGAAGAGATAGCATTTACATTCGCTCGTGATCATCAACTCTCAATGCACCCCAAGGGCTACGCTGGCCCTTGGACTCCGGGGACGCATGAGGGTGTCCGCATTCCCCCGGGCACTATCCGGGTGGTGTGTCTGACAGAGAACAGGGGCAAAGGTGGAGCCGTCACCCACGGCATGCGACATGTCCGTGGCCAGTATGTTGTATTTGCAGATGCCGACGGAGCGAGCAAATTCGAGGATCTAGGAAAGCTTGTCGCGGCCTGCCAGGAAACCGAGGACGCAAAAGGACGCGCAGTGGCCGTTGGATCTCGGGCGCACATGGTGGGAAGTGAAGCTGTAGTCAAGGTATGCTCTAACATATCCTTTCTCTATACCCGAGATAGCTAACCGATGATTCCCATACAGCGCTCGAAGCTGCGCAACTTCCTCATGCATTCGTTTCATCTGATCTTGTGGCTGTTGACACCCTCTAAGACGGCCACTATCAAGGATACGCAATGTGGATTCAAGTTGTTTTCCCGGGCGTCGCTGCCGTACATTATCCCTTATATGCACTCCGAGGGATGGATCTTCGACGTGGAGATGCTTATGCTCGCCGAATTTGCCGACATCCCCGTGGCCGAGGTGCCCGTTGGATGGAGAGAGGTCAAGGGCAGCAAGTTGAATGTAATCCGGGATAGCATCGGCATGGCTTGGGGACTGGCTGTCCTGCGAGCTGCATGGTTACTTGGTGTTTATCGGCGTACTTGAGATATACATACTGCTCTTTTATCAGGAGACCAAAGAGAAGCAAATAGAGTAGTGAAGCAGATAACAGCATCATCATCATTGTCACATAATACAATCATCTACTATTTCGGGTTGAAGTAGGATCTGTTACTACTATTACTACGCCTAGTACACCGTACATCCCAACAAAAGTATATTCCAAATCACAGAGCTGTTATACTCAGTATTAATAATAGTAACTGCAAGTCCTACCTCAACTAGTAAGTAGTAAATATACCAGTAAAAAAACCCTCAATCATACTGAATAGTAGTAGTACAAACTACCAGACATTCACACAGCTCACCCTCATCAAATCCTGAATCAATAGGTGCATTGTATGTCATGCGAGGCCCCGGTGGCGAATCCCAAAACCGGCCCGGAAGAAGCCTAAACCACTTCCTCAATCCCCGTCATTGCATCACCAACAAATTCCTGAATCATGCCAGAAAGCAGTTACAGTACTACATACAGTTAGTACATGTCTTTCAATATATTCTTTCTACTATGTATCTCTCTAATGACATCACTGACTATTCATACAACGGTAAACACAACTAGTAGCGCATAGAACTTAAAGATCATCATTTGTAAGAGGCAGGCAACGGTATAGTAGTGTACTACTACGGAACCACCCCGAACGGCCCTACCCGAAAGCATAGAAAGGGGAAACCTGAACGAAGAGAGGATAAAGTTTGTCACTTAAAAGAAACAGACGAAAGGTGGTAAAAAAAAAGTCAATTTCCATTCCGACTTGGCTGGCTCTCGGTCCGAAGTAACGTGGTTTGTTTCATTCAAGTAACAAAAAAAAAAAAGTTTTTTTTTCTTCGCATTCATGCCGAAATGAGGCGAATATTTTTATTCAAAGATGAAAAGACAAAAAAAAAAAAGGGATCAATCCTTTGGAACTGGAAAGAGGTGGTCTGATATTTTTTTGACCCTCAAAATTTCCCCTCAATCCCTCCTTTTCCATCACACGCCCACCCTTCCCCCTCCCAAATTACATTGGTTTCGAAGTCACTCGACTCGACTACTCACATATACCCTCGGTTATCTATCTATAGCCCCCGGTCAATTCTGCAGGTTTATTGAGCTACGGTACTAGCTCATTGACCCCAACACTACTGGCTTTTTAGCCGTTACACTCTACCGGTTCTCGGAGGAATACTGCCCTCATTAGCTGGTACTTATTGACGTGCTTGCTTGCTTGCTGAGTGGCTTTTTGCTGCTTTGGAAGGATTCCGGAAGTCAAATCACTACTACTACTTGTTGTGCTGTGGTCTTACTACATAACCATCACCTCATGATATGGTGAGACAACATCTATAGCAATATCCGTGTCCTTGGCAGTGATAGCCTGATCATCGGTTGTTCGGTTGTTGTTGTCACTTGCTTGCCCTGTGGTGGTAGTATACTACGAATGGGCTAGTGGTGCTGTGGTGACACGTTGGATCTTGTCTACTACTACTTACGTACTGGGGGTTCTCTCTTTGCGTGGGAGCTGACGTTTGTGGAATGGGTTTATATACTAGTACTTACTCCTCTTGCGGCGTTGGCAAAAATACGCTACTACTGAACCATAGACGGAGTTGCACATCTGATCTATCCTATGTGCTAGTACTATCGTACTATGAGTGATTCGATCTGAAGTGGATCTCTGTTTGGCTTCCTTCGTCGACGGACTCCGAACGAACCCACTAGCTAGCGTGAGCTAGTACATACTACTTCTTGTCTCTTCACAATGGGAATCCCACGACCACAGGAGCATTGGGTGGATGCTCCCCAGACGAATTCAACCAAACCATCGCCATTTCTCAAATTGCCTCTGGAGCTTCGTCTCATGATCTACGAATATGCGCTGGTCGTTCCAAATGAATTTACGGATCGTCCGATGATCGTGATCAACGACCGCGGGAACGTCTTCACTGCCCGCGGCCGATACCGAGCTCTCTCGATGTGTCCCAGCTGGGTGGGTGAGAACGGTCGAGTTCGCAGCCTACTTTCCGTGAACCGGCAAATCCACGATGAGGTGGAGGATTTCGTGTATTCGCAGAATACCCTCTTCTTCTTGAACTCGTTCAATCTTGACCGTTTGGGCACCTTCCTCGACACCATCAGTCCTACGGCGCGCAAGCGCATTCGCAGCGTCGGGTTTGAGATTTTCTTCTTTGTCCACTCGCAAACAGGCGTGCCGAAGCGGACCTTGAAGGAGTATAAAGCAGCTGCTCGCATGTTGATGGAAAAGCTGCCGAACTGGACAAGTACCATGTTTTACTTAGATCCTCGCTTCTACTTCCCTTCTGCTGCAGTAGGGAATCTGGAATCGTCCGCGCGGGGTATCTGGTACCTGGCGACGATATTTGGAGCTTTGCACAAGGATCTCCATTTCTTTCCACTACCGTCGATGCATCGACATGTTATGGACGATGCAAAGAAATCGCTTCAGGCTGAGACGCGGGCGTCACAGATGAAGCTCTCTATCGCATAGAAACTGGGTGTTATGATTCTTTTTTTTGGTCAGGATCATCTCCTCTTCTTCCTATTTGTCTACATTAGTAATACTTTGTCTCACTTGTCCTGCCATTTACTTTTTCCGACTGGGGGGGCGGTTTCCTCCTCCTTCCGATCAGATACCACTATTATCTGCAGGATGACGTTTAGGGAGATCGGTGCGAAGAGAGTTTAATATGTGCACACACTGCGCAGTAGACTGTCTTAGTCTTGAGGTACTCCACTCTTTGATTGCCAATCATCTCGGAATGTCACGTTGGAGGTTTGGGGGTGGGGGGATGGGCATGAGCACGGAGAATGGGTGTTTTGGTCGCAAACGGGCGGGAAGCGATAGGTTTTTGCATTCTTGGAAGGGTCTTCTTCGTTCTGTTTCGTTTCGTTTTTTTTTTTCAAGCGTCATGTTTCCTACTATGGATAGAACTATTCGAATCAGCGTCATCTCTGGTCATTTTCTTATTCCTGCAAGCTAGGAAAAGTAGCATGATCATAGTTGGTAGATGCATGGGGGGGACTTGCAGCGGGCAGCAGCAACCGTTGCCGCCCGCACGGTTAGTGTAGTGGGTTAGCTTCAGATCGGTCCGTCTGCTGGACGTACCAGATGATGGGGATTCAGTGACCCGCCTGGACCATGAAATCATAGCCTAGAAGGAGGGGGAGGACGAAGAAGAAGAGGAAGAAGACCTGACTACTACTTGATGTGAAGGCTGGGGGAATGAAGAAGAAATGAGCCGAATATGGAGATGAAACCCCAGGGAAAGAAAGGAGTGACTGTTGCTTCTGTTGAGCATCCAAGCAATAACGTCATGGTCTGCCTCGTGATCGTCGGCCTCAAGTTCCTTTTGGTGGTTGAAGAAAGCAGCCAAATTACATTTCAATCCCACGCTGCTTCTTTTTCTTCTTAACTGCCTTTCTACTTTCTCTTTTTTCTCTTATTGTTCCCTTTCTTCTGTGCCCTCCTGTTTTGTTTCCCTACCCTGGTTTCCTTCCCTGTCTGGTCCTGGAAGATATCAGCCTGCTATTAACCCCCCCACGTCTGATATCGAACCACTGAGCACTTTGATCTCCTGGTATATCGAGTAATAAGTGTTAGTAGTGAGTAGTAATATCCTTTCTATTGATTCCTTTTTTTCTTTTGGGTCCTCCCCGCATTTGGGTGGATCTTCTTCCCATCCTGTCATCAATTCTCGCCTCAGTCGGTTTGAGAGAAGATTGGCATAATAATTAATCTCTTCATCCTGCAGGCTTGTTGCTCATAGGCTCTCCCGCCACCTGATAAATGCTGTGTGCCTTTCGCGCCGCAGTCTGCAGTCAAGCGCATCGTCCACTTGTCCATTCTCTTGTGGTCGCAGGCTGCTACCAGCAACAACACGTCTTTGGTCCACGACGCACGAAGCTGCTCGCCCTGCGGATTGAAACTCTGCTTCAGGCACCGGTGGCTTATCAACGCTCGATTGCCCACTCCGGACAACTAAGTAGTTAACTAAGCTCCCCCACCGTTCCCCCCATCTTATTTGCCACTGGTAGGTTACCCGGTCGGTGTGGTTCCCCGGTTCTTACTTGTCCCTCCCTCTACTCTCCTACCGCTGTTTAAATGACATTCAGTCGCTCCACGCGCGATCATCACTGTGATGCTGCTGTATCTAGCTCGGCTGATGTTTTAGCTAGTACCGAACTAAATTCATTCACGTTGTGACTTTTTTCGCCAATTGTTCGCTCCTTTCGCCCTCCCCTTACCCCTCTCTCCCTCTTTTTTCTCTCTCATCTTCTCGTCTCTTTATGAAGGGAATCCACCCGACCCAAACTGCCCCGGGAGTCTCTCAGCAACTCCAATAGTTTCCATAATGAAGCCAGCAACCGCTACAAAGTCCCCCAATGGTCGTGGGAGCCTCTACAAGGAGGTTCGCTTTTCGCCTACACCAACTCCCGTCCGTCGAACACAGTCAGTACCGGACACTCATCTCGACTCGAGGCCAAACTATACTGGCGGCCCAGATATAGAAGCAGCCAGTTATTCGGTTGTAAGCGCCGAATACCTAAGTCAAGTGCGGTCGCTCCTCGATCGCCAGCGGGCAAACTTCGAGCATGAGAGGAAGCTATTCAACGAGGAACGCCATCTATGGGAGAATGAGCGTGCGTTACTAAACCAGAGGATCTCTGAATTAGAGTCGCTGCTCAAGGGTAGGGGATCCACAGGGACCGCCGCTACTAGTACAGTCGCGCTCCCGACCGGCACTTTTCAACATCATGTATCATTATCATCTGCATTTCACAGCCAATTCAGTCACCCATTTTCGGCAGAACATACTGATTCTTCTCACCCGACAAGTACCCAAGTGTGGGAAGGCTCTAGCCCTGGAAGCAAACCCACGAGGGTATTCCCTAACGCCGAGAAGACAGACTTCTCAGGTCTCCTATTTCCGGAGCAAGGAGGCAATCCATCGGTCTCTGCGCCATCCTTGGACGCTGCCCTTTCACCTAAGTCCCGTGCGACTGACTTGACCTCGAGCACATGCGTGCCAGTCCCAATTGAGAGGCTTGATAGCAAACTTGACGGGATCACGCTCAAGTCCTCGGCTTTGCCGCCAGAAATTGTCGCTCGAGTAATTACGCCACCATCGCCACCATCCCTCGAGGGCTCTCCATCACTTTCTTCCAGACCCTCTGCTGAGCACCGCAACAGCCTCAAACTGAAACTGTCTGAACTTGGGCCCCCAGAGTTTAACCTGACCAGGAACGCCGGTCACACACCCATGGCTAGGATCGATCGGGACGTCGACACGGAGCAGCCGTCACCCCAGGAGACCACGAACGAGGAGGAACCCCTCGCTTCGGAAGCGCCTCGGCAACCTGCAGAAAACTCCGACTCGTACTTTGGGGATTTGGCGGATGACCCTGCCCTGAAGGGGCCACTTACCTTGCTGAATGAGGAAGAGCATGATAGTGAGTTTCTGAAGGAGCTTGATCAGAAGCTTCTGGACCAGGTCAAGCAGGCCCTTGGCTATCCCCGAAGCACTGATCAGAAACAGGCTGAAGTCGAGCCCCCCAGTCAGGGTGATGAGCCCGAATTAAGGTTCAAGAATACGACGAACTTTGGTACGGCTTTTGGAAATTCGGACTGTGGGAAGGTGTAGGGTAGGAGGGAAGGATTACCGTGCGGTCGCAGATATTTTGTTGTGGATGTTAAACCTCATAAGCTCATAGCCACATTTGGACTTTGGTTACGATGGACCCCAGATTACGGGATGGGCCATTATCTTTTTGGACGGATACCATGACTGACGAATATGACGGAACTTATGTCTTTGCATATGCATCGGACACTTATGTGTAAATATTAAAGCTACGGGAGACTTTCTGAGAACAGGGGTTTTCTTTGATTTTGGTTTTTCGCAGTATTGTGTACATCTGGTCGAACAGGCTCTGCTCTCCTTGCGTCCGCCCCCGACCCGGTCAAGCCCCCATCCCTCCCTATCTTATCATCCCAGTTCCCTTTTAACCTCGACACTACTTCAATAACTGCTACAGGGATGTCACCCTTCGGAGGGGCTATCTCCTGGAGAGTGGCTAGGTTCTCTCCTCGCCATGAGGTCACCGTGACTATCGGCGCCATTGTCTCGTGGGCCTTGCATGGCCCTTCGGCTGGCCCTATGCTGAGGGATCATGTCCTAGATAGGGTCTTGGAACCCTTGTATACCGCAATGGACGGAGTGTCTGTCTTTTGGTATAAGAAGGCCAAAATCTCATGCTGACATTCTTCTCATCAGAGCATTCATCCGCTGCAGATCACAGCGTTCATTCTTTCAGAGCTCATTCCAGCCCTGTCTGTCTCTAACTTGGTTATTCGCTCCTTCAACTCCCATAGTTTCCTTCTCTTGATAATTACGTCACATTCTTTCCCTTCTACAATGTACAACCTCAAGAGCCTTCCGGCACTGCTATGCCTCGTGCTGGCTGTCGCTCCCGTCCTGTCTGCACCTGTCGCTGCTCGAGTATGTTAGACCTCAATCTTGCATTCAAGCCCAAACATCAGCGAAGCTAACACATACTGCAGGATGGAGCCGTTGTGCGAAGACAGAGCCACCACTTCAATACCAACACCCAGTCCGGTTCTAACATGGGCTTCTCTATCCCTGATGGCCCATCCTACAACTCTGGCCAGTTCGCCTCGAACGCATATCGCGAAGACCGTGGCGGCGACATGGATGACGAGGAGGGCTCAAGTGAGTCCAGCAACACCAACGCAGGGAACTCAATGAATATCGGCATCCCGGGTGGTCCCAGCGTCAACTTGGGCAACTACTTCAGTAACAACTATGAAGAATCTGAAGAGCCACGGCCAAAGCCCTCGACTACTTCCACGACCACCATCCCAGAGTCCACAACGGCCCCTCCACCTCCGCCAGTCAACCCTCCTATTGAGACTTCTGTTCCTGCCCCTCCTGCCCCTCCTACTACAACTACCACCACTACCCAACCCCCTCCTCCTCCCCCTACAACCACTGCTCCCCCTGCTCCTCCTACAACCACTGCTCCTCCTGCTCCTCCTGCAACTACTACTCCTCCTGCTCCCCCTGCTCCTCCTACAACTACTGCTCCTCCTGCTCCTCCTGCAACTACTGCTCCTCCTGCTCCTCCTGCTCCCCCTACCACTGCTCCTCCAGCACCCCCAGCTCCGTCTACCCCCTCCGAGCCGGCTCCTCCTGCTGAGACCGAAGAACCTGAGGAGCCAGTGCAAGAATGCCCAGCACCGGAGCCTGAGCCACAGCCTGAGCCTGAGCAGCAGTCTCCTGAGCCTCCAGCTGAACATGGACCTTCCCCTGAACCGGAGTCATCTCCTGCCCCCGAGCCTACCCCTGCACCTCAGCCCAACCCTACACCAAGCCCTCAACCAGAGCCCCAGCCCCAGCCTCAGCCTCAGCCTGACCATGAGCCTGCATCCGAGCCCAGGATCATACCCACTCCTTCCCCAGCTGCTCCAGCATTGCCTGCATACACCTGTCAATGCCCTGCGTGAGCTTGACATATGTTCCCATCACCCCCTTCACTTTCTTTGCCTCTATTATCCATAACTCTCATTCATGAATGCCCCTGCCCCTGCCCCTGCCCCTGCCCCATCATCCCCAAAGTTTCCTTTTGTCAATCACCACCATTCATTCCCTACCCCCATTCCCCCAAATCCATTATTTTTTTTTCCCCCTTGGATATACAAATTCTTTACCAGAGTGATTCTAGTTTAATTGGAAACACTGTGTTGTGTCTATTGCTTGTTGATTTTGACTGGATGGTTTTTGTCCCCTTTCATTCCCTTTCACTTTCATTCATCTTCCCTTCTTCTTTTCTTTTCTGAATCACTGGGTGGTTAGCATATGAACCTTGTAATGTTCTTTGGGTTGTATTAGTACTACTATTCTTATTTACAGTTGATTTTCTTATTATCATGGATATTCAGTGTAATAGGAATATATAGAAAAAGACAATAAGAGTATCTTGCATTAATGTCTCGTGATATCATATTCATGTCTCGTAAATAAACATCAATAATTGTCTCCTCGCGCCAGTTCATGGGGACCTCGGGGGTGGAGAGATATTGCATGGGCCACCAATAGAGCAGAATAAGGGACAAGAATGAAAGCAGAATCAGAAAGGCGGATGAAGATAAAAGTGTAAAATCAAGCTCATGATCCCGTATTAAGGAAAACCCCGAAACCAACAACAACAGAACAGAACAAATCAATTGAAAAAAAAAAAAAGCAACCCAATAACGGAAAAAAAAAGAGAAAAAAGAGGGAGAAAGGGAGACGGGTCCTCTCAGATCAGTCAGTTATCTAGACCCCCATTGTAAAATCATGCTCAATCCCCGGCGTAACACTAGCAATAAACTTCAAAAACACAACGAGATACTGATCCACGCGAATGGCAACCTGATCCTCCTCATCATGCTGCAGCATCTCCCACTCATCACCACCACCACCACCTGCTTGCCCCTGGCCGCCATGTCCCTCACTCACCGACAGTCCCTTAACATCATCCACTAACCCTTCCAACCCGCCCGCTCCAGCAGCGACCTTTGCATCAGGCTCTGCGTGCGCCGAGGCCGCGGCCTTGAGCTTATCGCGACGGATCTTGAGCGCTGCGTCGGCGCGATCCAGAAGGGTTTTCATCACGGAGGCGTGCCGGCATGGATGCACGGTCGCCATCTTTACGCTGCCTTCGAACCAGGGGAAGTCTTCGAGGGTGACGGTTTTGTCTTTGTAGTCGCCCACTATGTCTTCCATCATTAGTTGGGGCGGGAGGGGTTCAGATGCTGAGAGGTAGCCGGAGAGGTAGAGGCGCGGGGTGCGGTAGAAGTTGGCGTAGGTTATGTAGAGGTTGTAGGTGCGGGTGGGTCTGTTTGGGATTAATTGTTAGCTTCGTTGATATGCTTTCTTTGATGTTGCAGATAGCGGAGGGAGGGAAGGAGGGTGTATAGATAGCAACAGTCAGAGCTGGAAGGGATGGATGGATCAACTTACTGCGTCGTCCCCGTCACCGGTTCCCGAATAATCGCCTCTTCATCATCATCCTCATCTTCCATATCCGGAATCTCATCCTCCTCTGGTTCCTCTACCTCGCCCATATTCCCGGCCTCGTCGACCGTCCGTACATCTCCGATCCGAGCAGATGATGACGTTGCTGCGTTATCGCCGCCTCCCGTCCGCAACCAACCATCGTCATCGTTGTCCCCCTCACCCGCTAGCATGCCCCGGACGATCTCGTCTTCGTGACCTGCGTCCCCGGCGAAGTTGTCGTTTAGCCGTCGGTGACATGGCACGCCGCGGGTGACCAGGAACTGCTTTCCGGGCGGGAGGTAGGAGACACGCTTTGCGGGGGTTGCGGCATCGGCCCAGGACCAGGAGGGGAACTTGTAGACTAGGTAGTCGCCTGCGAGGACAAACTCTTCGGGGGTGATCTGGCCGGTTGTTCGGAAGGTTGAGGTGCGGGAGACGGGGGCGAGACGGTCTCGCCAGGTGGAGAGGGTGGAGTGGAGGATGTTCATTGCTTTAGTTGTTTGCTTGCTTGCTTGTCTGTCTGGTTGGTATTTCGTTTCTTTCTTGGGTGAATTAAAAGGACTGTTGGTAGAGTTGGTCAAAATGAGGTCAGGAGATGATATAAAAATGAAATGGAGGGGAAGGAAGCTTATCTACCGGAAGATTTAAAGAGGAGAGAGGGAATGATGGGGATGGAGGGAATGAGATTTGGCTGTGGCGGTGACGAACTTATCGGAGTCCCTGGACGATGCACGCGGGGTACATCAGGTGGCTGAGGCTCCGTCATCCACCAAAAGCAACACACTTTTAGATGGGTTTACTGGACTGGGACACTGTCTTCCCAGAGATCATACTACTTCGCTAACCATGTGGCTTGCCAGTCACTGGACTTTTCTTTATTCATCTGGTTTACTCAGTGTTCTGGTAGGTGATTGCGAACTTGCAGAGGGGACGGGCTCGGTTTTACCCGCAAATCATTACGTAGGTCCGTCCCTTCTTGTGCCATTTAAAGGACCTGGAAGTATAACTGGCTATGGCATCCTCCGAAGGAAAAGAGGCCCTGTCACTTGAGTGGCGGGGGTTTCTGCGCCCACGGGTCCTCGGGAAGGCTGGCCGCTATCTCCGATATCTGATCATATCGGATCCAGCATGGCCCTTTCTTGTTCCAGATGCTGGTTCTGGAACATATGTAGCCTGTAACTGAGATCTTCCTCAAGCAAGCTGCGCCCGCATGATAGATTTGACTTGCATGCTGTGTAGCCCTCACTCACCCTCTTCCATCATTCTCCTATGTTCTATCTCACCCTCCAGCTCGTCCACCGTCATGGGTATTCCTCGCCCCTTCCACTTTTCCATTTCCGCCCGCGCAAATCCCTCCATGCTTCTCATGGCCACCACCACGAATCCGAGGTCCTCCCGGTCAACGTCGAATACTTCCCACCAGTCGCCATCGACAAGCTTGACCCCCACTTCCCGAGATGCGAGGTAGATCGAAGCAACGGCAAGGGCGTTCGGTTGGTGCGTGACGTATAACAACTGCGGCGACAGCAATGCTGAGTTGAGATGCTCGAATACTCTGTGAGCAACGGCGGAGGATGGAACGCCAAGGGTCTGGAGGTAGGTCAAGGCGATAGTATGAGGGAGAGCCACATGCGTATTGAATCCCAACGTGCGCAGAATGATCGACTCGATGCGCAGCAGAACCAGTCGCTGTGCGTGATAATCGCCTTCCGTAAGGTGATAGGTTTCTGGCATTGCCTTGTCTGGCGACCCCTTGGGGTTTATGAACCACAATGGCGACGCATCTTTCGACAGGAGAAAAGCGTAGACGTTTAGCACCGAGCGGGGAGAGGTGGGTTGGAAGGATAACTTGGCAGTCATGTACAGTGCTGCGGCGGATACATCCTAGGAGAAAATGATCTATCAGTAACTTTGCTACTTCGTTCAAAGAGAAAATAGCGACTCTGAATACCTTCACCGAGTATATTCGTAGACTGCCACCTTCTGAGCCTATCCAGAACCGGGTAAATGTCACAATGGCCTGCGCGATGATGTCTTGCGACAATCGTAACAGAACCCCCGCTGTTTGTGTGAGCTGCGCGCCCGCAAATCGGACAGATGCTTCTAGATCAACAGGCACACCGTCGATAGATGATGATGAATTTGTTAGCTGCTCTGGTGTTGCTAGCGCATTGGAAAGGTACTTCAACCCGCTTGCGGCCGAGCTTGCCATGTCGCTGGTGTGGGAATGCCGGGGAATTCGTATAGGAATTTGCACGGAGGGTGATCACAATTATGAACACGATAAAAGGAAAGCCCTTTGGTCCTTGATGTGCAGTTGGCTAATTTTTGCAAAAAGGATCTTGTTGCTTCGATCCATAAGCTTGGTCTTGACTGTTGTTCCTGCAAAGCTGCGGCGATTTGAGGCTCACCGCCCGGTTAAGTGGGAGTGATCAACATCGACATGGCTTCCTCAGGTTCAGAGTCTTAGTACTAGCCCACAATGGACATTATGAAGTAATTTGTTTGTAGTATCATGATATATTGCAATCAGAGCTTAGTGATCCATGATGATGACTACTGTTTTCAGGAGGTGTAGACCAGGGGGTTGACATGTATACTACTACAATATACTAGCGCCTACTATCTGGAAATATATACCGGAAGTTACTTACTAGTACAGCAGTGGAAGTACTAATAGAAGTGCCAGATGAGCAGACGCTTCAGTTATTTCTAATCCTACTAAGTAGACTTTGATGTACTATGCGTATAGTATACTTCATACCCTCCATATCAGCATACTAGACAATGAAATAATCAGTTGATAGAGACGAGAGCATGTGACCCCACAAGCCTTAGGCAACCATGCCTCGTAAACCAGAAACGATGCATCGCTGCAGCTCGAGTGCACGCAGCCCACATTAACAACTATCTATGCCTCGCAGGTTCCACGGTATAAAGCCGACTACGTACATATTTCCGAGCCGTACATGCCAGACGTCCTTGAGGCCTGCTCTTCAAAAATTAGACTCATTCATCCAGTCGGGTTGAAGGATGGAGTACTGACAATGATTGAACACAGTGGATATTGCTGTGTCCCCCTTATCCTCCGCAAATGATTGCTTAACCCCGAGATTGCTTAATCTCACGGAGGAGAGGATCGTCTGCGAACTAAACCGCATGAAACGGGACCCCAAGAGTCCAGACTCTAAGCACCCCGGGGTCTGTCTAGCAATGACAGCGGAAAAGGGGCATCACCGTTTTGGTCACTGCGTAGGACGTGGCGTCAATGGTATATGCCACTATCCAGTCGTCAAGGAGACCATTGCCTCTGCCAGTACTCCAAATGACGTCGTCGGGTCATGGAAAGGTATTCATGCGCCGTCTGGAGTCATTGCTTGCCCGGTTCAGGGGAGCTGAGAGAATGGGGCGAATTTGTGCCTAATAAAAGATCATGACAGCACAATATCACTCAAAGGCCATGTAACCACCCGCTTCATCCACCACTCATCTAGCGCAGGGCCTCGTGGTGGAGCAAAGAGAAGGTTGTTCAGCCACCGGCTTTTTGCTGTTTGGCGGAGCATGACTTCTAAGAATACATACCCAACCTCGCGATATTTCGTGGTTCCTTGACCTAAAGGATCCATCGCGATTCCTCGTCAGATTGTTGACCACATATCGAACATTCTGAACACCAACTAAGACAGTCCGGCTCTGAATTCTCCAAGATCGCTCCATCCACTCCTAGATAGATCGTGCAGGATCCTCAGCACTCGTCGCTGACAGGGGCACGTGCGGGTACGCCGTCTGATCACTTATCGCTTGGCGGTCGAGTTCATCAACCTGAAGAACATCTGTTACAATCGCGTCCTGTTTCCACTTAGGCTATTGTCCATAACGTATACACCGTCGACTTTCGGCCCATTGCTAAACCGTTTTTACGCTTGATCCTCTATCAATTCCTTGTTTATCGCCCCGCAATCCAGCAAAGAAGAGAAGATCTAGAGGGACAGCTTCGGGAGCTACTCATTTCCGTCTTTCTCCTCCCCTCTCTTCCCCCCCCCTTTTGCTTCCTCGCAGACGAGCGACCGCGGCATACGTGACCGTGCATTGTATTGGACGACGAATCGACGTGGCATTCCAGTCCGTGTCCAAGTGGTGCGACCGACCGCGACCCTTCGTCATTCCTAGCCCCATCCCTTCCCACCTACCGTCCAGTCACCTTCGACCTCAACAATGCTCCGCGACCCCGAGCACCCGTCAACTACAGCCACGCCTGCGAGTAGCAATACTGCGAAAGTGTCCTCGACAGCGGTCGCATCGACCGAAATCGAAGAGACTTGTCAGCCTTACGCCGACAATCAACCTGCCCACCAGAATACCCCTGTAACTTCTTTAGCACCGAGCTCGGATGCGTTATCCCCACTACCGCCGAAACAATATCCTTCACACCCCTCTCACCGTCGGGCGAACACCGAGATTATCCCGCGGCAAGCCCCTCTGCCGTCCAGGAAGCTCTTCTCCGATCAACCCAAAACCTACGAAGACTTGGACTCCGGCACTACTCCCTCGAACCCACCAGTTGAGAGTACTGCCAGAAAGAGACTCGAAGAAGGCGCAAAGCGCTTGTCGGGCTGGTTTCAAGGAAAGTCGGAACCGGTCAACCTAGGAGTAGTGTATCAGTCAGAAGAGCAGGACTCCGCCGCCACAGACGATATGGAGAAGCGCGCCAGTCGCGAATTCTACGGGTCGCCCAACGTCCCAACGGGCCTGACAAGCCGAACTCAGAAGCGGATGACTGCGCCGTCGCCTCTGAAACAGGTTACATCATCAAGTCCCTTCTCGTTCTTCGGATTAAAGAGACAGGGGGAGAGCAGACCGGAGCTGCCCGAACCTGCCCAGGACGAGTTCTTGAACCTCGATATCAACGCCGCTTTATTCCCGACTGGATTCAGTAATCTAGAAGGTCGGGAAGCCTTTGACGCCCTGAGACAAAACGCAGATACTGTACTCAGGCGGCTACAGGCTGCATACAAACAGAGGACATTCGCCTTGCATGAAGCTCTGGCCGACAAGAATGAAAAGCAAGAGGAGCTGGAGGTCACTCGGACACGCATCGGGAACCTCAAGATCCAGTTAGATGGCATGGCCGAGAAAGTCATCCAACAAGAAAAAGCCATGAAGGCCATGGCAGAAGAGCTGGAGCATGAGCGGCAATTACGTCGCCGAGAGGAAGAGGCACGCCTGCGCAGCATCACGCTGGTTCGGTCTAGCGACGACGAGAGTACCTCTGACCTGGGGGCTGAACTTCAGACCCCCAAGCGGAGCCTCAAACGCGCCAGCAATGGTACATTTACAAGCGACTCCGGCTTCGATTCAGGAGATGAGAGCCTTGCAGAGAGTGTCTTCTCCCGCCGCGAAGTGCTCGAGTCTCCAGCGTCGACGGTCGCGCCATCTCCCAATATCTCGCAGATCACCTTGTCTACTCCCAGTACAGCTGCTCCTGCACAACAGAGCCAGAAAGAGCTCAAACCAGCGCCAACTCCTGCACCAGCACCGACACCTGCGCGTCCATCTACTTATGATCGGGTTATAAAAGGGCTGACACCGAGGAGCATCGCCAGCTCGTGGACCAACAGCTCCAAATGTAACATCTGTCATGGGGTTCCTTCCTCGGAAGCCTGGAGCGTCATGGGGATCTTGAAGGAAGAGAACAAAGGACTGAAGGAGCGACTCGGGGAGTTGGAGAACGTGATTGATGATTGTCTGTGTCTTGTTGGGCCCTGACAGCTTGGTATGCTTGCTCTACGTTGACCGAAGCGTACGGATACCAGAAAACCACGGCCTTGATTGGGAGGAAACGGCGAATATGACCGTTATACAGTGATACCTTGAGATACCTAGACAGAGTACTTTTTGAGAGAGATACTTTTTTACTATTTTTGTTAGAATTGTCGAATACCCTACCATACAAACAGATCATTGGTCGTTTCCAGCTCATAGTGCTGCATCGTGAACGTTATAATTCTTGTAGGGGCGGAGGAAAGCGACCAAGTGGCCTCAACGGGTTAGCGTGGCTGGGTGGGCGCAAAGTGGCCAGCGAGGCGACTCTGGATCGCACCCGCAATCCCCGTCGACCTCATCGCTTCCTCCCTTTCTCCTCCTCCATCCTCTCTCTCTCTTCCCGTCGTCTTCTCTTCTTCTCCTTCTCCTTTTGTAATTCCCCTCCATTCCTTCAGCTGGTTCTCGCCTCCAGCTTTTCTTTCTTTCTTTCCCTCCCCTTTTATTCGAGTAATCCTGCAGCTCTGGGAGGTGCAACAGTCACAATGAGCGGACGTGAGTCTTGCACGCGATCGCTGCCCTTTTCGCGACAGCGTTCTATCTTTTACCTCAATGGGTCAGCAAATGCTGATACTCAATTCTAGTCCGGTTTCTCGATCTCATCAAGCCTTTCACGCCCCTCCTCCCGGAGGTGGCCGCCCCGGAAACCAAGGTTCCCTTCAACCAGAAGTTGATGTGGACGGGGGTACGTGATACTTGTCCAGCTCGACAAGAGCTTCTAAGCTAATGGAATGTTTCTGCAGTTGACTCTCCTGATCTTCCTGGTCATGAGTCAGATGCCCTTGTACGGAATTGTCTCCTCTGACACCTCCGACCCTCTGTACTGGCTCCGTATGATGTTGGCCAGTAACCGGGGTACCCTGATGGAATTGGGTATCACCCCCATCATCTCCTCCGGCATGGTTTTCCAGGTATGTAATGGGGAATTTGCAAGTTGAACACGGAATTGGGCATTGGCTAACATGTGGCTTTTCTGATAGCTCCTCGCTGGTACCCACCTCATCGATGTCAACCTGGACCTCAAGACCGACCGTGAACTGTATCAGACCGCTCAGAAGCTCTTCGCTATCATCCTGTCCTTCGGTCAGGCCTGCGTCTACGTCCTCACTGGTCTTTACGGCCAGCCCAGTGACCTTGGTGCCGGTATCTGTGTCCTCCTGATTGTTCAGCTGGTCGTTGCTGGCTTGGTTGTCATCCTGCTGGATGAGCTTCTCCAGAAGGGCTATGGTCTTGGTAGCGGTATTTCTCTGTTCATCGCGACCAACATCTGCGAGTCGATCGTCTGGAAGGCTTTCTCCCCCACGACCATCAACACTGGCCGTGGTCCCGAGTTCGAGGGTGCCATTATTGCCCTCTTCCACCTTCTGTTGACCTGGTCCGACAAGCAGCGCGCTCTTCGTGAGGCTTTCTACCGCCAGAACCTCCCCAACATCATGAACTTGCTGGCCACTCTCCTCGTTTTCGCCGCTGTGATCTACCTCCAGGGCTTCCGTGTCGAGATCCCCGTCAAGTCCTCCCGCCAGCGTGGCATGCGTGGTTCCTACCCTGTCCGCCTGTTCTACACTTCCAACATGCCCATCATGCTTCAGTCTGCTCTGTGCTCCAACATCTTCCTCATCAGTCAGATGCTGTACTCTCGCTTCTCTGACAACCTCCTTGTCAAGCTTCTCGGTGTTTGGGAGCCTCGCGAGGGTTCTGCCCAGCTCCACGCCGCTTCCGGCATTGCCTACTACATGTCTCCTCCCCTGAACTTCAAGGAGGCCCTTCTTGACCCCATCCACACCGCCGTGTACATTACCTTCATGCTGGTCGCTTGCGCTCTCTTCTCCAAGACCTGGATCGAGGTTTCCGGCTCTGCTCCCCGTGACGTTGCTAAGCAGCTCAAGGACCAGGGTCTCGTGATGGCTGGTCACCGTGAGCAGAGCATGTACAAGGAGCTCAAGCGTGTCATTCCTACTGCCGCTGCTTTCGGTGGTGCTTGCATTGGTGCCCTGTCCGTCGCTTCTGACCTCCTTGGTGCTCTTGGCAGCGGTACCGGTATCCTCCTTGCCGTTACGTAAGTCTTCACTCTTGTCTCGATTCTTTTGCATGAATACTAACCTTTGTCCTTAGAATTATATACGGATACTTCGAAATTGCCGCCCGTGAGGGCGACATTGGATCGGGCCTCAAGGGCCTTGTTCCGGGTAACTAATAAGGCCCCTTTTTTTGATGAAAGCATGAGAAGAAGTTTGAGGGCTTATGTTTGTTCGTGCAACTTTCTGTTTCTTCTCGGGTAGAGTGCTGTTGTGGCTGGGATCTGGATTATTTAGTTCTTGATGGATGTATGGCTAGTTTTTAACAATTTGCAGGAGGGGAAGATCTTCTCTACGAAGATACGTCCACGCCACAGCTGTACATAGCACCTACCTGGTTTGTAACCATATTGACAAAAGATCTAAAATTAACTTAATTGGCTTGACCATCTCGGGTACCTTTTTACTTCAACTGCAAGGGGATGGTGTCTGATGCAGATCTATAACTAAGGTAACAATTGCGGGTATATACCGAAACCACACTTATACACAATCAACTGCAGTACCACTTACACTGCAACATCGGTATTCACTTTTTTTACTGACACTCACCTAAGTCCGGTAATCACCATTAATAGTCACATACTCGTGACTGAAGTCACAGAACCAATAAACCGCCTCCTCTCCACCAAGACCCTTCTCACCCTTCTCACCACCTCCAAGGTCAACCACAATCTCCAAATCTTCCTCTTGCAGAATAACCGACGCGCGATCCTCATCCACCTGCTCCGGCTCGCCGTTCACCAACAACTTCAGCTCCGCACTGCCATCCACAGGCTTGAAGCTAACACTAGTCCGTTCCGGCACCACCGTACCCTCCGCAACGCCCTGCGTGTAGCCAA